ATTTTCACTGTTTTTGGCCTAAATGTCAATACAAGACACAAAATAAATATCATTTTAATAGGCATCAATTAATTCATTCAAAAACAAAGCAATTTAAATGTGATTTTAATAATTGTAATAAATCTTTCACACATCATGTAAGTTTAATTCGACACAAAAAGAGTTTTCATTTAAAAGTGAGATTTATTTGTGATTTCAATGAATGTCACAAAAGTTTTACACAAAAGGCACATTTATTTGCACACAGAAATTGTGTTCATTTTAATAACGGGAAGTATAAATGCAATGAAGAAAATTGTGGCAAAACATTCACTTCAAAACAAAATCTAATTAAACACAAATTTATACATTCGGGAGAAAAACCTTTTATTTGTCATTTCAATGATTGTAATAAAGCCTATTTTGCAAAATATGACTTAAAATTACATATTAAAAAACATGCGAATAGAATAAAGTAATAATTGACAGAAAAAACTGTATTCAATTGTAAACTTATTTAACTTGTTTAAACTGATTCATACGGGAGAATAATCAATTCTAATATCAGATTACTATTACAACTTTTAAAGTTTAAACTATTTTCCAGACCATAGAATTATTTATAATAAAATTATTTTGAATTTAAATAAATATTATTTGTTATACATAATTAAATAAATAAAATTCGCTCATAAAATAATTATCATGTTTAAATATGTTTGTTAAGTTATTTCATGAAATGTATGCTAATTTAATTAAACATGCAAATAAAACAATTATAAATAACATACATGACCGCCGAGTGGGCCACACGTCTGAGCGCTTCCCACGTGTGGCCGTAATCAGTGAACAACACGTCCTTAAAATCATTGTTTGATAACTGAGAGCCTGTTTTGTCAAATAAAATATTTATTTTATTATACAAATAGTAAATACAGTATCTAATTAATCTAGCAAGTTCTATGCAAATTATGTACAATCACAATTAACGCCATGTAATTAATTGTAGGTAATGTGTACAGTATGTAATAACAATGAATATGTAATAAACTTTCAAATGTAAAATATCATGCTATTTACTAACCTAAATACGACCATGGTCGACCGGCAAAATCATTTTTACGGTACGCCTCGCGGGCCATTTCGGTGTCGGCAATGATAATGCGGGGAACTCCACCGAACCAGAAGGTGAATACCGGGCCGTACTGTGCGGTCAGCCCACGAAAAACCTGGTGCCAAACGGGGCCAGATTTAAATTGCACTAATAGTTTAACATGGTTGTAGAATTAGTTAAATTGTTAAATTAACTAGTTACTTAATTATATTGTACACTTACTTAGGCCATTGCCAATAAGTGGCCAGGGGTGCGGACCGGGTGGCAAGGTTGAGCGTAGGTGGTAAAATTTAGCAATTTTATATACTACATACCCAATTAATACTGTTATAAATGTTGTAGATATACTGCCGGCTGTTACTAATGTTATAAATTTTGTAATTAATGACATTATTTAAATAATTTATTAAATTAACACCGATTTAGTTAGAAATTGTAAAACAAAAATGAAAAATGTGTAAATAGTTTGTAAAAACGCTGTATTTGTTGATCATTTTATATGTGCTGCTCAGTTAACCTTGAAGTAAAAAACCTGATAAAATGTTTTATCATAGTTATTTACTTAATACCTCAACGCTATGTAACGTATTGTAGGTATTTTTTGCAACGTTTATTCAACGTTAAATCAATACTGTTTTGAAGGTTTAGTAATAATAAATGAACTTCAAACTAGCTCAATTTAGTTTTACAGCAATCATTGTTAATTACTATTATAACTTATATTTTATAAAGAGATTATTTTATCATGTACAATGTACCGTACGTGCAAGATTAAATAAGCATTTTTTACATTCAACATTTGTACGTAAATAATAATTATAAAATAACCAATATTGTTGTTGCATTATCTGACCATAATAATTTTTAATTTTAAATGCATGACATTTATTTGTATGACATTTTATAGTTATTAAATTAGTTGACACCTTATCAAATAATAATTATGTTCATTTTATATTATAATAAACTTGTTTTATTGTTACTTTTGTACTTACAAATGTAATTAATTATATCATGAAATACTTTACAATTTCTATCATCATTTATCAAACAAAATAATTAATATTTAATATTTTCAAAATATTTGTATAAAAGATAATAGAAACGAAATAAATATTTATTATATACATATTTATATATAATGTTAATATAATATCAACTAAATAAATGAAATATATTAATATTAAATAGGAAATAAAAAATATGTAATCTGTTATTTAAATGTAAATATATTAAACCTAATGTTGAACTATTAAATTGATTTATTAAGGTTAAGATTTCGCAATAGGAATTAATTTCTCATATTGCATATTATTTAAGTTTAATAATACAATGATCTATCAAGTTGGTCAGTTTTACAAAATGAATAAGTTTTGCATTGAATTGAATGAAAGCAATCGATACCAACATTTGTATCACTATTTAAACACAACGTGTTGTCTAATTATAGCCACATTTTTAGATAAAGTAATTTTAATTATAACTATAATAATACTATAATTAAAAATCATTTAATTTTAATGATTAGATATTTAAAACTGTGAACAATATAACTTTATACTGCGATCCAAATCTATATCTATTGGATATCATTCAACATAACTTTAATAAAAGGTTTGTTATAATTTATAACCTTTATATAAATTAATAAAATATATCACACCTAGATTGTTATTCAACATTGTGACCAATGGCGGTGGTGGGATGCTATTAAAAAATGGATCATGGACTGGTGCAATGGGCTTACTTGATAGAAATGTATACGTGCATGATTAAATTACACAATAATTGTTAATGTTGTATCTAACTAGAAATCTGATATAATATTGGCACCATTCTCTAATAATAATGGTAGGGATAAAGTTGTTTACTTTCCACATATGATTCCCGACTCATCGCTGATGTCTATCATAAGTACCGCTAAATACTATGAAAACAATAATATATTTGAAATATTAAATGTGTTTCAACTAAACGTTTGGATCGCTATTATTATAACGTTTGTCATTATTTGTGTCATAAATGGCCCGAAAACTAGTTTCCATTATTTTAGTCTATTGTTAGGCAAAAGTTTGTTTCACCAATTTTGTTTTATTAATGGTTATATTTTAATAAATTGTAATATTTATAGGCATTGCTATAAAGGGTTTTCACAACAGATTATTGTTAATCGTATGGATTATCGGATCAATGATTTTTATCGACTATTTTAATAGTGATTTACGAGCGCTTGAAGTGTCGAAAAATGCCGATAAAATAGAGTCAATACAACAGTTATATGAGAGACAAAACATCGAGATTATTGTTGTCGATAATTCCAACCAAGCTCAGATTATGAAAAGGGTATAAAAATATTCTGTTGTATGAATATTGTTAAAATTTGTTAAAATGTATATTTATCAGCGTTACAAAGGGTTAATGAATCGTGTTCATTATATTGAGGCCCGAGATGTATATAAGTTATCGACTATATTAAACATTGTTAATAACAATATGGTGTTAATTGCATCATGTCTTACATTTAATATTTTGGCTAAATATTACAGTAATCATGAATTGGTGGCATTGAGTGATACCCGAGAAATGTATTTATATAGTTTTCCCATAAGAAAAACATTAGGTCCAGAATTTCATAATAAATCTAGAAAAATGTATGTTTTAAAATTTAAATCTCAAATTAATATATCTCGAATATCTCAAATAATATTTAAATCTGAATTTTTATTGTCTTTTATAGAGTGATATGTTTATACGAATCGGGTATTGAAAGCTATAAATCATCTCAAACTGCATTATTTTATACAATTATGGATTCATTGATTGGTAAACAAATGGCGAATAAAAGTGATTTGAATGCATATAAGAGTGGTTTAGAGACCAATCGTTTTGCATTAACGACAAAACATTTATACATTTGTTTTGTTGTTTTACTTTTCGGTTATTTTATATCCATTTTATGTATTATTTACGAATCAATGGAAAAACTATTGAGAATTTGTTGATAATAATTATATATTTAATTAAATTTTTGTAATTACTGTAAATAACATAACAGTATTATTATCGAACTTTCAATACCTTATTTACATATTTTTGTTATTGTCATTGTAATAAAATAAATTTTTATAACATATATAAAATTTTAATTAAAAATATGAATTATAAATGGTTTATTAATAATTCACATTTTATAAAAATATGTTTCCATGTACAAAGTGTATTATATAACTTGTTTAGAACTTTCATTTAAAACTACATTCAAAACGAAATAGAATTTATTAACATTTTAAGTGCTTTTTATTCAATTTAATTAAATGTCTGTAAATTTTCACAGCAAGTTTTGAATTGAATTGAATGAAAGCAATCGATACCAACATTTGTATCACTATTTAAACACAACCTGTTGTTTAATAATAGTCGCATTTGTTAATAAAGTAATTACGGTTAAATTTATAAATATAACTAATAATTATAATTTACTTTTTAGATAATTAAAACTTATAATAAAAAAGCTTTATATTGTGATCCAAACATATATCTATTGGATATAATTAAACAAAAATTTAATAAGAGGTTTGTTTAAACCGTTTATATATAATAATCAGTTTGTAATACAGTATTTTAAATTAGCATTATAATTAATATAAAGTATCGAAATAACTTTTCGGAAATTGGTTAGAACGTAATTTATTGATCAAATTTAGCCGCAAATTTTCAAATGATGATTTGGTTTGAAAGATTATTTATTGAGTGACAAAATAATGGCATCCATTTGTCTGTATGTCTTGTGGTTTAGGAGTAATCTTCTCCCGAAGATGTCCACTCCCGAAATAGCTTTGGCAATGCTATTCAATGGCAATCATTATATTTAACAAATAAATGTGATGAAATTTTTTAATTGGCTGGATCAATTGTTAAAATTTGTACCAAATTGTTATTTTCTTTATTTAATCTTTGAACAAAAGTACTTTACGGCATTTTATTATCTCTTCTTAAAAAAGTGCCATGGTCATTGTGCCAAAGCTATTTTGGGAGTGGACTTCTTCGGGAGAGGATTACTTCGGAACCACAAGACATACAGACAAATGGATGCCATTATTTTGTCACTCAATAAATAATCTTTCAAACCAAATCATCATTTGAAAATTTGCGGCTAAATTTGATCAACAAATTACGTTCTAACCAATTTCCGAAAAGTTATTTCGATGCTTTATATTAATTATAATGCTAATTTAAAATACTGTATTACAAACTGATTATTATATATAAACGGTTT